CCCCAAAACCCCAAAACCCCTATAATCAAGATAGATAAGAATTTGGAAATAATAATAATATACTTAAAATATTTAGATCAGATTATAATAATTTGAAAGATTAATAATGGCCAACGTGCACAGATTGGGTGACTACCAAAACAATAATAATTAAAATAATTAATACGGAAGACCATAGTTCCAGGGACAACAAAGAGCTAACAATGCCTTCTAAAATTAACCATTACTTGGTGGAGGACCAAATAATCAACAGTTTGTGGATCCAAGAAGAGAATCATTCTTTGACATGCTCAAGTTTACATTCTGTCCAACATTTACAATCTTTTCCTTTATCTTTTTCATAACCCTTATTGATGTTCTCGTCTATATCACAACACTGATTGCAAATACAGCGAAGAGTTACCCACTAGATGATAGCAATTTCTTAGGGCCTAGCATAATTACACTCAATACATTTGGTTCAAATAATCCTTGGTAAATGAGGTACAAGTATCAAGTATGGAGATATATCACACCTATATTCTTACATGCAGGATTCATGCACATTTTCGTAAGCATCCAATAATATTCAGTCATAACTCTTTTAGTCAAACATGCTAAGTCAAATGATTATTGGGTTTATGCTTGAAAGTGTAATGGGACCATTCAGAGTTGGACTTGTTTATATTGCCAGCGGGTATAAAATTTCTGCATTAATAATTTATAATTAGAATCGGAGGAAATTTATTCACAGCACTATGTAGCCCAGATAAACTGTCAGTTGGAGCTTCTACCTCTATCTTTGGTCTTCTTGCTTGCCTAGTAAAATTATTAAAAATATCTTAAACATTTAGCTTTCACTTGTCTTTGTTAACTGGAAAGCACTCGACAGATCTCCAGAGGTTAGATGCTGCCTGATCGTTTTTGTTATTTTCTTGTTCTTATTTTCCCTCTTGTTGGCATTTGCAGTATGATAATCATTAAACTAATATAATTTTAGAGCTAGGAAAACACAGTTGATGTATTTGGACATTTAGGAGGATTTATCTCAGGATTTTTCTTTGGATCATTGATTATGATTCATATGAGAGGATAAGAAGCTCGCCAGAGAAATAGTTATGAGAAGATCTGCCAGATGATAGGAGGAGCTGGTGTTGTGATATTCTTTATTATTTGCTTCTCAGTCTTCTACACTAGCGTATATCCTCGCTTCATGTTATGAGTCACTAATCTCATGATTGATCTTAATATGATAAACTATCCTTAATTATTTTCAAACCAATTAGTATATCATCAATATAAATAATCAATTTAAGTTCTCATCTCATACTCATTATAATATTAAAAGTTAAAAATATTAATGACATCTTCTGCACTTTCAAAGAAAAGAGGAATTAGTTTTGCAGAGAGACCAATTATCTTGAATATCAATGAACTTTAAGCTAATGGTGATTTTGAAATAGACGAGGAGTACCAAGCTGAAATTTAGAATGCTCTGGCTAAAGAACAACAGAACAAATTAAATGATAGTCTTTCAGGTCCTAAATCAATTCTTAAAAAATAGCCTGGACAGATGTCCCCATAATAATCTAAGTCGTAGAGTGTTAAGTTACCGATGCCATAAACATTAGGATAAAGTGCAAGTACTAGTCTGCTAGAAAAACCACTTCCATCTCTCACCAACAATAGAGGAAGAGGTAATAACTATAGCAACATTCAGTAGAGAATTTAGTAAGTAATCGCAGAATCGAAAAACGGAGCTCAAAAAATAAGAGGTGAGGGTATAAATGATCTGATCAAAATTGAGTAACTTGAGAAGAAAGAAATTGAGAAGATTAACTTTTAAAAGTATCAGGTCAAAGAAGAGGAAAAGTACGACCCAACTGCTCATTAGATGTAATCATATTCATTACAAATGAAAGATCCTTAGAAAGGGCAATACAGTGATTCTGATCTCTAAAATTAAAATGATGTCAAAGTATCAAACAAAATTTAGTTGTCTAAAATACAACTGAAATCTAAAAAAGACTTAAATATTCCAAATACCCTTCCAATTTAGCCTATTAAGAAATCTTCACCTTCAGGATACTAAGAAAATAATAAGAATGTCGATAAAACTAGGTATGATGATAATGAACTATTGAATAAGTCTGGAGAAAGTCTAATCCAAAATTAGAATTTCGTGCCACCACCTTTAAAATAAACACCATAATTAGATGAGAGATAAAACACAGCTGGTTCTAATAACAATTCTATGAATGCTTCTGATTAATCCAGGAGAGGAAAGTAAGTCTAATTAGCAGAGTAATAGCAGTAAAACAAAAAATAATAGTAGCATTAAACCCCTAAACCCCTTGCGAAATTCTTATCAACTAGTTAAAATTATAAGCCTTAAAATTATCAAGTTGTGACAGCTGATAAACTACCGGACTATTTGCTTGAAAGAGACTAGGAAATAGATAATTTAGAGAAGGAAATTCAAGCCTAAAGAATGAACTAAAGATACAATGCAATAAATAATTAAAATGAGAATGTGAGTCTTAAAGAGGTAGCCTCAAGCAATAAACTAAATATTAAACCTGAGAATATAATATCTGCAGCTGCAGAAACTAATAAAAAGAGCTTCAAAGAAAAATAAAAGCAGTTACTCTAATCTCTTTAACAAAATATGCAAATTCTAAATAACTTTGTAACAATGTTTACTTCCTAGGCACAGCAAGAAACTTAGCTCTAAAAGCATTCAGATGAGTTAGAGAAGAAAAAGTAAGAGGACTAGCCATTGTTTGAAAATCCAAAGGAGTCTGTTTAAAGTTTTACAGAGAGCATCATAGTCTAAAATTCAGTTTTGTCGGATATTCTAAAGCGTTGAATTGTTGCCAGGGATAAGTAAATTACAACTAGCCATCCAAGACTTAAGAGTCTTGCTTTCATGATATAGCAAAGAGATTTTAATAAATATGACCCTCTATTCAACTTCACCAATAGGTATAGCTCTAATAAAAATGCCAGTGAAGTTGGAGTTTATGGAGATATTGAGGAGCTTAACAAACTTAAGAGAAAACATCAAAATATGATAAAGGATGAGTAATCTGATGAGTCTTGCATCATTTTAAATGAGTATTTGCTTTTGAAATACAACTTTAAAAATAAATGGGTGTAGTAATTGGATATCAGCTCATATCTCTTTAGCAAATTTCCATCAATATGTGATTTAAGAAATGGATAGGTCTGTATAACTGGTGGTTTAAAATTTGATGACTCTGGATATGTAAATGATGCTTTACTATTCGACACTAGGACAATATAGATAGAATAGTTAGAGAGAATGGAAGTTGCACGATTCAAGCATTAGTTAATAGAATGTGAGGGATCAATTTTTGCAATTGGAGGTATTAGCAATCGTGCAAACATTCCAATTAAAATAGTTGAAGCTTTTGATGTTAAATTGAGCTAAGAATGGAGGAGATGCACCTCGATGTTTCTTGAAAGAAGTGAATTCTTTGCTTGCTCACACCCAGGCTCTCATTTTATATATGTCTATGGAGGAACAGTAAAGTAGGAAGATAGATATGCAATTGAAAGATACAATTCAAAGGATGACAAATGGGAGGTAATGGATATAAAGCTTAATGAAACTTTTCCCTATATTGATATTTTCAATACTCATAGTCTCCTACTAGTAAATAAAAGAGATGTAAATGAGACTGGACTAAAACAGATTCACTAGGAAAAAGTAGGTCTTACTCTTGAGGAAGAACTAATATAGAAAATGCTAGATGCTAATGAGAACAACAAAGTTACACCGAAAATAAATGAATAAATAGAGAAGGAATACAGAAAAGATCCAAGTTCTTCCCAATTAAAAACAAGGATAAAGAAAGATGATTCCACAAGAGAAGAAAAAAGTGCTACAAAAGAAGATTTTACTGAAATGTCAAATACTATATCTCTTGTTGAGAATTAAGCCGCAAAAATAAGCAAGAATTCAAGGCTTAAAATGAAAGTGAATTTGAACAGAGCAAAAGAGAATACTGAGAAAAGATTAAGATTAGGTTCATCATAATCTGTTCCCTAGCTATCAATTACTGACTCAGTAACTCTACCATCGATTAGAGACCTTAAAGCTCAATAGACATAGATAACTGATCTTTTTTCAGAGAGTGTTCAGTCAATCAAAAATTTTAATTCTGTTCCAAGCGAGAAAGACATGTTTTAACTTAAAAAGAATAGATTAAGCCCAGATGAGCTACTCTACTTAAATTTCAAATCAGGTGTATTGCAGATTTAAAAAGTATACCTTGATGGGGCAGGTATTAACCCCTAAGTTATCAAACTTGATATGAAATCTAAAGACTCAGTTTCTCATGTGAGTCTGTGCTAATCTCAAGGCTATATATTCATTCTTAGGAAGCATGACCCTTATCTAATAGAATCAATTAATATGTCATTGAACAATAGCTTATCAGAGAAATATCCTTCCCGTGAAGAATATCAGGCATCACTTAACCAAAGGGAGATAGATAAGGAAGAATTTAAAAAGATATATGTTGAGCTTAAGTAAAAGCAGATTGAGGATACTGAAGCTACCAGAGGGGGTCCAGTTCCTCAAGGATATTAGGGATCGCTAAATAATTCTGTTGCTGATCCTTATTTTGAGGAGGAGCAGGTAATAGTACCAACTACTCCTGATAAATCTAAAAATTCTAAGAAAAAGAATGTAAAGGACACTAATAAATCTATGAAAGTTAAGGATGAAAAGTATTTAGAGAAGATCTAAAATAATCATAAATTAGCATAATCTTAAATCGTTTAGGACAAGAATAAAACTTTGACTAAAAAATCCACTGTTTAGACTCCATTAAAAGATAATAGAACAAAAACTCCTGTTAAATAGGAACAGCCAAAAAGTTAACCACAAGGAAAATCTATCCTTAAAAAAGATGGATCTGCAAGCAAAATAAAAAAAAGAGTACAGATCTGAAAACATTTTGTCTCACTATTAAGTTAAATTTAATCTTGATTTCATAATTTCTTATTCTCTGATAAGGAAATTTAATGAGTAAGGGGTTTTGGGGTTTTGGGGTTTTGGGG